GTCTGTGGGCTGTCGCCGAGGAGCTGTTGAGAAAGAGAAAATTCTCCTCTGAATGTTCCGCCTACTCCTCTGTGCCCTGTATGACAATTTCTCAGTTACATAAAACCCTGTTTCGACACTAACAGTCGAAGAGGGTGAGAACAATGATGTAATGCTTATAGTCATGGACCAAAATATGGTATTTAAGTGAGAAACAAATAAAAATCAAGCTCTGTTGGGGAGCAACCACATTGAGGGCTGAAGATTAAAGAACTAGGAACAGAAGCACTATGGGGAAAGAGGAAAAGAATCGAGGTTACTCCAAAGACAGAAGTTGGGGAGCCCATCGGCTGAATCCTTCTTCCTGTCTGTTTAGCATGAAGATGGGAAAGATCATGGCCAGTATCCTCGACACGTGGATATTTACACATTTGAAGGATACTAACTCACAAGTCTATAGAAATGTACAATGCTGAAGCCAGAAAGAAATCACAGGAGATGTTTAGCCCAGCCCATTTATTTTACATACAAGAAACTGAGAATCCCCGAGTTTAAGTGAAAGGTGCAGGCCTCCTTCACATCCAACCAATGGCATACAGAGGAGGACACTTGGTGCAGTGACTGCCACCACCTAGCAGCTGGGCAGCTTTGAGGATGGAGGTCCTCACCCCAACACTGTGCTGCATGGAACCTCTGGTTTCCAAGAATTCATCATAATCCCAAGCCCCACATCAACTTCTAGAAGTGCAGTGATCCTTGAATTAACACCAATCCTCTAACTCAGTGAAAAAATACACTGAGAATGCTGACCAACTGTTCTCTATCTCCTTTTAGAGAAGAACAAGACGAAACATGTTTAAACTATTTTAGGCAAGTTAAGGCCGAGCTAGACCAAAGACGTCTATCGAGGCTTTGCAGGCAACACTGCAACTAAGTTCCAGAAGGAAATGAACGATTCCTTCCCTGACAGCCTCAGGAATATAACAGCCCAACTAAAGCACCAGTGTGCACTTCTGCTGCCAGACAGAACAATGGATCAGCTGTAAATGTTCCTTCATATTTCTGAGTGACATCCATAATGGAATGGTGTGGCTGTGGCTGTGCATTCCACCCAAAATATTGCTAGGTGATGAACTGTGACTGAACAAGGCTCAATAAAAACATTCTCAGTGGTGGGTGCCTGTAATCCCAGAACTTTGGGAGGCTGAAGCGGGCGGATCACGAGGTTAAGAGATTGAGATCATTCTGGCCAACATGGTGAAACGCTGTCTCTACTAAAAATACAAAAATAAGCTGGGCGTGGTGGTGCGTGCCTGTAGTCCCAGCTACTCAGGAGGCTGAGGCAGGAGAATTGCTTGAACCTGGGAGGCGGAGATTGCAGTGAGTCAAGATTGTGCCACTGCACTCCAGCCTGGTGCCTGGCAACAGACAAAGACTCTGTCTCAAACAAACAAACAAACAAACAAACCAAAACACACAAAAAAACCATTCTTAACTAGCCACAGTGGCTAACCTCTGTAATCTCAGCACTTTGGGAGGATGAGGCAGGAAGATCACTTGAGCCCAGGGGTTTGAGACCAGCCTGAACAACAAAGTCAGACCCTGTATCTACAAAAAAGTTTTAAAAATTAGCCAGGTGTGGTGGTGTGCACCTATAGTCCCAGCTCTGCAAGAGGCTGAGGTGAGAGGATCACCTGAGATCAGGGGGCGGTGGGGTCCAGGCTGCAGTGAGCTATGATCACGCCATTGCACTCCAGCCTGGGGGACGGAGTGAGACCCTGTCTCTTAAAAAAAGAAAAGATAAAGATAGAAAACAGGCTGTCCTCTACCAAATAGTTTATCATCTCCTGTCTCACCAATTACGTGATTGATATGGATGTTTTCTGTGACTTACTACTGATGTTTACTGATTCAGATATTTTAATTAATGCAGCTGAGCACTCAATATACATAATTTTACTTACGTAAAGTAAAAAGTCAGCTTCCTTAGCTGACTTTTATCTCTCATTGCCAACACCAAGGGGAATGTTACTGGTCAATACCAGACTGAGAGCCAACACGGTATCCCGAGGAGCCACTTTTTACCAGATGGCCCATCTGGTGAACACCAAGTACAATTGTGCCAGTCCTCTATCCAAGCCCCGGGAGTCTATTCACTTCTCCCAGGTCCTCCAAGAAGCAGCCCGTGGCTCCGGACCTCTGCTTCCCCTGCCTGCTCTGCACCTGCCACTCTCTACTTTTGCTTAAGTCTTACCCTTCCTTCAAATCTACATCCTCCAGAAGTTTTCCCCTGGTCATTCCAACCCTTGATGATCCCTCTCATTCCTGTATTTTTTAGAGATGGGGTTTCACTCTGTTGCCCAGGCTGGAGTACGGTGGTGTGCTCATAGTTCACTGTCACCTCAAACTCCTGGGCTCAAGCGATCCACCTGCCTCAGCCTCCCGAATAGCTGGAACTAGAGGTATGTGCCACCCCACCCAGCTATTTTTTTTTTTTTTTTGAGACGGAGTCTCGCTCCATCACTCAGGCTGGAGTGCAGTGGTGCGATCTTGGCTCACTGCAACCTCTGCCTCCTGGATTCAAGCAATTCTCTGCCTCAGCCTCCCGAGTAGGTGGGATTACAGGTGCCCACCACCATGCCCAGCTAGATTTTTTTGTATTTTTAGTAGAGATGGGCTTTCACCACTTTGCCTGGGTTGGTCTTGAACTCCTGACCTCATGATCCACCCACATTGGCCTCCCAAATTGCTGGGATTACAGGTGTGAGCCATTGTGCCCAGCATAATTTATTTTTAAAGAGATGGTGGTCTCACTATGTTGCCCAGGCTGGTCTCGAACTCCTGGGCTCAAGTGTTCCTCTCACTCTGGCCTCCCCAAGATGCTGGGGTTACAGGCATGAGCCACTGTGCCCAGCCTTCATACCTGTATTGTAATGTTGCTCCTGAAATACACTGCCTCACATGAATCTGTATGGCTCATCTGCCACAATCTACTGGAGAACCTACTGGTGTTAGCAGAGCCAGCCCTATGAGCTGCCCACAACTCAGTGATGTGGATGGGATGCCCAGCGTCTCTTGCTATCAGTGAAGTGATGTGGCACCTCCATAGGCCACGGTCCTTATAAAGGGTGCGTACAATCCAGGCTGCCACCACAAAGGGTGAAGTTCAAAGTGCTTACAGTTCTGCTGCCTTCTCCTAAGGCATCCTGTGCAATGGGATACTTCAAAAAAGAGCACCGTTTTTGGTTTGTTCGTTATTAGAGAGCTCATTTAAATTGAAGCAATAGCTTCATGTTGGCAGAATTAACTATTCAGCTCTCAATAGTCATTTAGATAGGGCACAATGGCTCATGCCTGTAATCCCAGCACTTTGGGAGGCCAAGGTGGGCGGATCACTGAGGTCAGGAGTTCAAGACCAGCTTGGCAAACATGGCAAAACCCCATCTCTATGAAAAATACAAAAATTAGCCAGGTGTGGTGGCACACGCCTGTAATCCCAGCTACTCAGGAGGCTGAGGCAGGAGAATCACTTGAACCTGGGAGGCAGAGGTTGCAGTGAGCCGAGATCACACCATTGTACTCCAGCCTGAGCAACAAGAGCAAAACTCCATCTCAGAAAATAATAATAATAATAATAATAATAATAATAAAACGGTGATTCACAAATTGAAGCCAACACTTTCACCTATCGGAAGTCTGAACTCAGCTATATGCTTACAGATTGCCCTGGGGGGAACGGAAGCTTTTCCTCATCTACATTCACACATTTCTTTCTAAATACAAAGACACCATGCTAGGCTGGGAAGAGACAGCAACCCTCTGCCCATGGCTTGGGCCCAGGGGACGGTGTGGTCCCTGAATCAGAAGTGGTAGCTCTCTCTCCCTCTTCCCTCACAGCTGCCGAGTAGAGCTGGGCTCTGCCCTGTTCCAGTGGAAAACGTTACAGCAGGGATGAAGCTGCAGTTTCTGTGCTCAAGATTCAAAATGGTGTCCCAAGGGCCTCGCAGGGAGAATCCATAGCTGGGGAAGGAGGCGGGTGGCTGGGGCCAGCCCCAGGGTGGGCATCAGGCTGGTGCACTCGTTCCAACACCCGTTTCGCCTTCTTCCTGTCACTCCTCTAACTGCAGGGCTGCACACACTTAATAGTCCAACTGCAGCTGAACGCAGAGGCTCATGCCTGTAATCCCAGCACTTTGGGAGGCCACGGTGGGTGGATCACCTGAGGTCAGGAGTTTGAGACCAGCCTGAAACATGGAGAAAACCCGTCTCTACTAAAAATACAAAATTAGGCCTGGCGTGGTGGTGCACACCTATAATCCCAGCTACTTGGGGGACTGAGGCATAAGAATTGCTTGAACCCAGGAGGCGGAGGTTGCAGTGAGCCAAGGCTGCACTTTGGATGCTTAGTACAAAGAACTAGTGGTTGTGATTTCGGGAAAAACATGAATGCCTGGCATCGCGTCGCAGTACAGATCAGGGCTGACTGATGGATGAGAGAGACTTGGTCAAGGTCTGAACCGGGTTCCTCCATCAATGTTTCTATCTCAATATTTGGAATGTTTTCTTGTGTCTGCACCTTACTGTTATCTCAGTGTGTCACTGTCAATCACTCAGAAACAGATGCATGCAATATCTCTGGAAATGGAATCTGGGATTCATCCAAATTAACTCCCAGCCTCCAGTCAGGCCCACAACCAAATCAAATGGGATTTCTACCCAGCTGTGCAAAAGTTTTCAGGCGAAATCACTTCCCGTTATGAATAACTGATTCCAGTGTCCCTCAATCTTTTTATTCTTTCCCCCAAGGGAAGCGAAGGCAGCTGTGATCACACGTCAAGCTAAAATGCTTCAGATGACTGAGTTGACACGTGGTGACGACACCACACATGCACAGGCACGTGTGTGCACATGCACCATCCTTACCAACATAGCCTGGAGTTCCACAGGCAGTGGACATCACACACTCACAGGCACACACGTGCTCACACACAGGCACACGCGTGCACACGCACTGTCCTTACCAACATAGCCCGGAGTTCCACAGGCAGTGGACATCACATCTCCTTTGCCCTCCATTTTTGACAATCCAAAGTCACTGATCATTATTTTGGACTCCTCATCTTGACTGTAGTACAAGAGATTTTCGGGCTACAAAGAAAATAAGAAAGAAACATTACCAACTATGTGTAAGGCTGGGATAATTGTGGAAGACTCACTCAACTGCAAAACCTATTCATGACGTCAGGATGTCTTTGACCTTCGGACACAGTAGATGCATCAACTAAAGCAGTGGCCAACAGAAATGGTGCAGAGAGCCCAGCACAGTGTCTGGCACAGACAGGCCTCCAATCAATGTCAGTTCCTTTCCTTTACTAATATGTTGTTTGCTTCAAAAAACACACCAGGCCACGCCCAGTGGTTCACACCTGTAATCCCAGCACTTTGGGAGGCCAAGGCAAGTGGATCACCTGAGGTTGGGAGCTTGAGACCAGCCTGACCAACATGGAGAAACCCTGTCTCTACTAAAAATACAAAAATTAGCCAGGCTTGGTGGCGCATGCTTGTAATCCCAGCTACTTGGGAGACTGAGGCAGGAGAATTGCTTGAACCCAGGAGGCGGAGGTTGTGGTGAGCTGAGATCACGCCATTGCACTCCAGCCTGGGTAACATGAGTGAAACTCCGTCTCAAGAAACAAAACAAATAAAACACACCATATTCTGAGGCAATCCAGAAAGCTGACTGTCTTGCAGACTTGTGGGTTCAGGTCTGGGGTTAGGAAGGAGACTCCTGGAAATGAAATAACTCTTGCAGGTGCTTCTCTTCTCTTGAGTGATTTTTCTTGAATCCAAGGGTCTGTTTCTGCCCTCAGCAACGTCCCCTGGTGCCCTGGAGTTCTGGGACATATGCTACATCTGAGCCCTTCACTAAGGCCAGCCAGCCCCTGCTTGCTCCCTTGCCAGGGAAGAGGAGGGATGTCATCCCAGAATAAATGAATCTGGAATTGGAAGACACAGCACTTTCCAGCCATGTATCCTTAAGGGGTCCACACTTCTGTTGGCCTTTCTGTGAAGTGTGGGTTGATTTCATTTCTTGTCTGCTACTCTGAACAGTGCACAGGCAGCAGGAATGCACAGCAATTTCTTCCATTTCTTATGGCCCTCGTGTCCCTGTCTTCACTACAGTTCTGCAACACACAGGAGGGGCTGAGAGAGGAGGTCCAGGGGTTGGCAGGGGAGCCAGTGTTTTACGAAGAATTGGGGAATCTCATTGCCCCTAGCAAGGAAGCAGGTGGGGCTTAGGAGGCTGGAAAGCTACAGCCTTGGAGCTAGTCCCTGCACTGCTGGCTGCACGCTGAGCACAGAGAGGCGCCTGCTTTTTTTTTTTTTTTTTTATAGAGCTGCTGTACTTGATGACTCCTGGATTCATCATCATGATGACGATTTATCACTGGGGGAGACAACGTCAAGGACTGTCATCTCTGCTGTTATCCAGGAATGTCCACCCTCCAGATAATCCTCACCCAGTGAATAAGGAATCGTTTCTGTCATTTATACCAAATTAAAGGGAGCACAGCAGGAAGAATCTGACTTGCGAAAGGCATCTTCCCACAGCACTGCCCATGCGGCTCTCCCACCAACCCCAGAGAGAGCCACCTTCTCTCTGTCAGGGGTTTGTGGTGAATTTTGGGTCGGACTTGAGTAACTATTCTTATGTAGAGTGTGAAAGGAAAATAAATCTCAAGGCCCCAAAATTACTAAGCCAGAGGGAAAAGTCAAGCTGGGAACTGCGCAAACCTGCTTCCATCTTATTCCTACATAGCATAGCTACAAAGACAAACAAAAAGCCACAATCCTCCCTCATGATTCACCAGAAAGGAAATTTCTTGTGGGCAAAGGACAGAGAAAACTCAAAGTCTGGCTGGGTGCGGCTCATGTCTGTAATCCTAGCACTTTGGGAGATCGAGGCGGGTGGATCACCTGAGGTCAAGAGTTCGAGACCAGCCTGGCCAACATGGTGAAAATCTATCTCTACTAAAAGTACAAAAATTAGCTGGGTATGGTGGTGTATGCCTGTAATTCCAACTACTCGGGAAGCTGAGGCAGGAGAATGTATTGAACCTAGGAGGCGGAGGCTGCAATGAGCCAAGATCGCAGTACTGCACTCCAGCCTGGCTGATGCAAGTGAAACTCCGTCTCAAAAAAAAAAAAAAAAAGTTAGATGTCCTCCCTCTGCTCATGGGAGATGAATGCGTACCAGATTGCTTCCTCTGCCCTATTGTTTCACTGAGCCAGACTATGGCACGAGTGACAATTCCTGTAAATTGTGTATTCAGTGAAGGGCTAATCAGAGATTGAAAAGCATGCGGCCCTTTGTCTCTTATCTACCTAAGACCTTGAAGCCTCTGCTTTGAGTTGTCCCACCCCCTCAGACCAAGACAATGCGCACCTTACACGTATTGATTGATGTCTCATGTCTCCCTACAATATATAAAACCAAGCTGTGCCCGACCGCGCTGGGCACGTTGTCATCAGGACCTCTTGAGGCTGTGCCACAGGGGCATCCTCAACCTTGACAAAATAAACTTTAAATTGACTGAGACCTGGCTGGGCGCGGTGGCTCACACCTGTAATCCCAGAACTTTGGGTGGCTGAGGTGGGTGGATCACCTGAGGTTAGGAGTTCGAGACCAGCCTAGCCAACATGGTGAAACCCTGTCTCTATTAAATATACAAAATTACCCAGGTGTGGTGGTGGGTGCCTGTAATCCCAGCTACTCAAGAGGCTGAGGCAGGAGAATCGCTTGAGCCTGGGAGGTGCAGGTTGCAGTGAGCTGAGATCACGCCACTGCACTCCAGCCTGGCCAAAAGAGAGAAACTCCATCTCAAAACTAAAAACATAAATTGACAGAGACCTGCCTCAGATGCTCTGGGTTCACAGTGTGACTAGACATATTTAAAGTGGTTATCTGCCTGTTGCGTGGCAGAGTCGCCTGTGAGGGTATTCACTGACCGGGCATCTCGTCCTTCAATGGGTCTGAGATGGGGACAAGGGCTGTGGATTTCAGAGCTCCACAGGCGGATTCTGATATGTCACTATCATAGTGAAGAAATTTTCAGAACTAACCAAGACTCCCTCCTTGACTGAACTTGAGGTAGGCTCCTGTCAGTCCCCTGCTCTCCTCGGCTTGAACTTGGCCTTGTCTATCCTGCCTTTGCTAGGCCTGAGTGGCCCCGGCTTAGCAAGAGTCGGCCACGTCAGAGAATCCCGCCACCACTGGTACCCGATCAAGTTCTTCATCCACCCAACCCCGCTGACAGGACTCCTGCGGAAGGCAGGCCAAGGCGATTGGGGTGATACAGGAACTAGAAAGAAATGATTTAAGTGGATAGTGAGGGTAAAAGAATCCTCGGCCCGGCTTCCCTTCTAACAAAAAGCAGCCCAAGACATTTTTTTTCCTAACAAAGAACAGCCTGAAAAGTCAAGCTGCAAACATAAATAAGCAAGCTGGAAGCTTTCATGGGTGAATGCTGGCAGCTGTGCCAACAAGAAGGGCCACCTGGGGGCCAGGCATGTTCAACATGGCCGCTCCATCTTCCGTTTTCTTTCTCAGCCACATGTATGGTACAGAAACAGGCACCATGGGGCTGGCCAGGCAAAGAACCCATCGGCATAATACAAGATTGGGATGGGGGCAGCCAGCTTTTCATGCTCTATGCAAATGGCATACCTGGTCCACCCAATCTTTCATGCCCTATGTAAATCAGTCACCACCTCCACAAGCTCAGCTCTAACCCCCCTGCATTTCACCACAGACTACAAACCCACTCGGGACCCCTCTCTGCAGGAGAGAGCTCTGCTTTCTTTTGCCTATTAAATCTCTGCTCCAAACCTCATTCGCTGTGTGTCTGCAACCTTGATTTCCCTGGTATAGGACAACGAACCTGGCATCACCCCAGACGACAAGGCCACTTGAGGGATGGCGGTTAATAGTCACTGTGACATTAATTCTGCAGATGAAGCAGGAGACTAGAAGAAAATCAACTGTGTGCTGAACAACGGTTCCAATGAGTTTGTTGTTGCTGTTTGAGATGGAGTCTCACTCTGTCACCCAGGCTGGAGCGCAGTGGCACAATCTCGGCTCACTGCAACCTCCACCTCCTGGGTTCAAACGATTCTCCTGCCTCAGCCTCCCGAGTAGCTAGGATTATAGGCATGCGCCACCACACCCGACTAATTTTGCATTTTTAGTAGAGACAAGGTTTCACCCTGTTGGCCAGGCTGGTCTCGTACTCCTGACCTCAGGAGATCCATCCACCTCGGCCTCCCAAAGTCTTGGGATTATAGGCATAAGCCACCACTCCTGGCCCCACTGAGTTTTAAAAGAGAGTAAAGTGGCCAATCAGTTGAAATAAAAATATCATCACACTTAGAAAGTGGGCGGGAATGCTCGAATCATCAAGTCCGTGCGGTTCATGCTTTCTCTGGATGTTTAGGGATTATCCTTTGCTAAACAGTAGGAGAGAGGACAAAGTTGTTTCTGATTTTTTATCTTCCTTGTCCCAGGACTTCTGCAGCTGCAGAGGTGGTAAGGAGTGGAGAGAAAGTGATTTCACGCTGCTAAACAAGGCATAATCCAGGCAAGGGGTGGCCAGCGCATCCACACATCCCTCCTAGAAAAGGTTCATTTGGGTCAATAAAATGCTCTTTTGAAGACCAATTATGCCCAAGAGGGTTAAATTAACTGGTCATTCACAGTTTAGATCAATACTCTTAATTGGCCCAAAACTTAGTAAAGACAGCAGGGCTTTTCCTGGGGGATGGGAGTGGGGGAGGAGGGAAGACGGTGGGGGAGAGGCAGGCTCAGGGAGGCCCCAATCCCCAGCAGGAGGGCCATGGGGTTGGGGGGCCTACATTGCATCACAATTCCTCCTGGTGTTCAAAGAGGTCTGGGACCCACTGGAAAAATTAAGTTTTCTGCATAATCATAGCATCTTTGCAAGATGCTACTGGTGACCAATACCTGAGTTGGAATATCAACCCCAACCCTTTATAATAATCCACATAATAAACTCTAAAAAGATCTATAAAGACACATGCACACGTACGTTTACTGCAGCACTGTTCACAATAGCAAAGACTTGGACCCAACCCAAAGGCCCAACACTAATAGACTGGACAAAGAAAATGTGGCACGCACACACCATGGAATATTATGCAGCCATAAAAAAGGATGAGTTCGTGTCCTTTGCAGGGAATGGATGAAGCTGGAAACCATCATTCTCAGCAAACGAACACAGGAACAGAAAACCAAACACCACATGTTCTCACTTATATGTGGGTGTTGAACAATGAGATCACATGGACACAGGGAGGAGAACATCACACACTGGGGGCCTGTTGGGGGGTGGGGAAGAGCATCGGGAAAAATACTAATGTAGATGACAGGTTGACGGGTGCAGCAAACCACCATGGCACCTGTATACCTAAGTAACAAACCTGCACGTTCTGCACATGTATCCCAGAACTTAAAGTATAATAATAAAAAAAAATCAACTAAAAAAAAAGATCGTAATCAACACACTTCTGGTAACATTCCTGTTATCCAGCATCACATTCCTAATTCAGTGATTCTCAACCAGCGGCAATTTTGCCCCCCAGGGGATGGATGTCTGGCAATGCCTAGGGGCATTTGCAGCTGCTGCAACTCTAGACGTGGTACTGGTATCCATGGGCAGAGGTAGGGATGCTGCTGTAAATCCCATAGTGCCCAGGGCAGAATGCCAATGGTGGAGGGGCCGAGAAACCCATCCTAATCCACCGAGGCAGGAGCAGGCACTTCCCGTCTCAGTCACTTCATTTTGCAAAAAGAACAACTGATTGTCTCCAGCAGCTTCCTGGGGCAACAGGCGATCAAACAGCTTTCTACAGAGAGAAGGGGGTGTAACCGCAGGAGGGCTGAGGCAGTAATCCCATTGTTGCACTAAGTTTACATTAACGCGATCATACTCTCTATTGCTCGGGCTCAGTTGTTTTAATTTTAACTTTCTTAGCTGTCTATGCAAATTTAATAGTCCAATTTCAACTTCCTCCTCATAGATCAAACTCCTCTGTGCCTCTGAAAAGAGATCACAAAAAGGTCCTAAAATGGCAATGTTCTTTACATAATGACAGGCCCGGTGATCTTAAGGTTCCCCAGGATGGAAGCTGCAAGCAGTTCTCCAAAAGCATTACATGCGCCAATGAAAAACGGTACCTCCCATACGGCCAATCAGCATTTCTAAGGCAGACATAAAGACTGCTCTCCTGGATATGGCTTAACTGCTTAGAAATTCTTTTTCTAATAAGTCAGACACTAGCCCATCACACCACATCACCACGCTAACGTGTTCAGAGAGAGCTGCCTGTGGTGTTCCGGAAGCACAGAGTTGGCATTTGTGGGGGCATAAGAGAGCAGAGAAGGCCCTGAGGCCTGGCACAGAGGTGCCAGGTCGGCTGAGCTACCCCTGCCTAGCCCTCTGAAGCACCTCCAGGTCCTGAACAGGTGTTTTCTGCAGAGCATGAAAGCTGAAAGGGATCCCCTGAGATTCCCAAATATCCTCACCCAATGGTTTTCCAAGAGCAGATCCCAGACTAGCATCCTCATCATCTGTAGCCCTGTTAGAAAGGCAAGCTCTCAGACCACACTGGAGACCTACAGAGCCAGACTGCTGGAGAAGGGGCAGTGGTTTCTATTTTCATAGCTCTCCAGACAATTCTGATGTGGGTGAGCATTCAGGAACCACTGCCTGGGTAAATGGAACATGACAACAAGAAGAAAAATCATGGTGGTGAGTCTTTTTTTTTTCTTTCTGAAACAGAGTCTGGCTCTGTTGCCCAGGCTGGAGTATAGTGGTGTAATCTCAGCTCACTGCAACCTCTGCCTCCTGGGTTTGAGCAATTCTGCCTCAGCCTCCTGGGTAGCTGGGATTGCAGGCAGCTAATTTTGGTATTTTTAGTACAGACGGGGTTTCACTATCTTGGCCAGGCTGGTCTTAAACTCCTGACCTCGTGATCCACCTGCCTGGGCCTCCCAAAATGCTGGTATTACAGGCATGAGTCACTGCGCCCAGCCAGCAGTGAGTCTTTATGAAAGAAAAAGCTACACCACTTTATTCCTTGATACCCAGTAGCAGGTGTGGAAACTGTTTATACAAATGTTTATGACTGGTTCTCTAAATTGATTTTGATTTCCCACAGTTGTGTACGGCACAGCTTCAAGAGAATATGATCTTCGTGCTTATAATGAGTGGTGGCTACACGTGCTGGGGTGGAATTTTGTCTTGACTGGTGCAGTAAGCTCTGGGGGCTGGATCTGTCCACATCCTAGAATGAAGCCACACTGCAGCTTTGGGTCAACTGCACTGCTTTCTACTGTTTCTCAAGTTGATATGTCTGATACCCACCTCGGGTACCGTGTGTGTGATATCCACCCTTCAGTATTGTACGTTTGACATCTGTCCTTCAGTGTCTACATAGACCTGGGAGGGAGTGGCAGATACGCCCATATAAGGCCCAGATCCTTCTGTGCCAATGGGTGAAGGCTTTCCAAAGCCTCATTAGGAAATTGTAAGAAAGGAACCTGCAGGGTATTGGGAGGCGGCTGCCATCGTGGCTCTTTTAACCTGTCTTTTTCCCTTCTATTTCTCTTCTCCCTCTTCTGTATGTTTACCTTCTGTTTCCCTTTGCTTTCCTCTCACAGTGTCTGACCACTGCTCTCTGTCTTTTATAAGGTGTGTTGTGCTGAAATGGAGCTGGAATTGGCAAAGGTACTGCAGAACTGCACCGGGAGAAGGGTTTCTGCAGCATACATGTCTTGAGCAAAATGATCTCTTAGAAGGGCTTGAAGCAACATACAACCCACCTCCCTGCAACCCTTTGGCTACATAATGGGTGTAAAAGCTCATGAACAGATGCCAGCCATGTGAATCTTCATCTTCTTCCAAGATACTTCTGGGTCGGGATCCCAAAGGCCCTGACAACTGAAAGGACACAAGTGCCACCATCCGTCACACGCACGCTACATCAGAGCGGCTGTGCCCCCACCGGCATCAGCCCTCTTGGACAGGTGCACAGTGGGCTGCAGAGAGCGGCTGCAGGATGCTGCTGAGTGATGGCCTCACCTTGAGGTCTCTGTGGACGATGCCCATTCTGTGGAGATAGTACACAGCGTCCAGGACTTGGCGTATCAGAGTGCTGGCATCCTTCTCTGTATAAAACCCCTTCTCCACTATCCGGTCAAATAGCTCTCCACCAGACACCCTGGCAAGAAAGAACACATTAGGAGTTTGAGAGAATTCGTTGAATTGTGCAGGGAAAGCTTCCAGTGTGATAAAAGGCCCAAACTTTATTTCAAAAGTGAATCCAGTCTCAGATTTAGATGTTGCCCCCCATTCCTCAGAAGCTATATCCAGGAAATGTGTCCATGCCATAGCAGTGTAAATGACTGGACCAAGGTAAAGGAAGTTTGAGAAAACAGGACCCACAGCCCAGCCACACCTGGGGTCTCTGTAGGCCTCTGCCTCCGTTCTGCTCTGATAATGTAAAGTTTTTTTTAAAAAACCCTTCCTGAATAGCAGGATCCTCCAATACAGGGAGACGACCCTGGATAAGACGTCTCCTTTTCATAAGACAGTATCCTTAAATGACCGAGAGTGTTGTGGGCAAAGCGCTGGCCTGCCAACAGGATGTCTGGGTTTTTGACCAAGTTCTGCTCCTAATGTACTGAGTTATGAACACTCCCTGAATCCCTGGACCTTGATCTTTTTATGTGTAAAATGAGGGGATGAATCTAGTCAACCATTTTCAACACTGGGTAGGAACATGCCCTTGGAATGATCAGAACCTCAAAGCCACTTGTGATTTATGAAAAAGGCAAAAAATCAACCCTATATTTCATTGCTTTGCTTTGGTTTGAGTGATGCTGTATCCTTTTTATTTGCTTTGCATTTCAGATTGTATTTAACATTTTAAAACATTTTTCAAAATGGGATTAGGTTGGCAAGGGCCAAGAAGCCCTGCGGGCTGGGGGCAGCCTCTCTGGCACCTTTCAGCTCTGATATTTGACGCCACTCTGAGTTCAACAAAATAACGGAAGTGTAAGAGCCAGAATACAAACAACTCAACCACGGCTCTCCAACGCATCTCAGATCATTAAGCCTTCTTGGAAATAAATTGGAAGGGATTTATTAACACTTCTGAAAAACAAGAGAAACATTTTCCAAAAACAGGATGAGACAGATTTGAAATACTCAAATCAAAAAGCAGCTTAAAAACAACTCTTGTATCTTTCATAGACATAGCAAAGACAAGCCCTACAGTAAGACACACTCGTACACAAACACACGGAAATAGGATTCACTTTCTGCAAGTCATGGCAATTTATGTGAAATAACTGATCCACTGAAACCTTCTTTTAAAAAAACAAAGAACACAACCACTGCAGCTGTAAAAGGCCTGAGTGCTAGTCTCTTCCATTACCTCTTGTCATGGCAAGCAATATTGTGTTTGGGTAAGATTTCATTTCTAAGGCAAACTGACAATCTAGGTAAGAAAGAGGTGCTCAGGAGAAATAAAAAAGCAATTCAAAGAGTGAAAGAAATGGAAGAGACTGGGAGAAACTACATTTTAACAACCGTGTTGTCTAAATGATCCAAGCTTAGGTAAGCCAAGAGCCCAGGATGTCCCTCCTGACACCAACTTCTCTCCAGTCGTCATTTTTCAAGAACCTTCCCCCAACAAGTTTCAACATCTGAAACTCTTCAGAGCTTGAGAACGTATCACAGAGGTAGACTGCTGTTAGGGCCGAGGAGAGTCTGGGTGCCCTGGAAGCATTCACTTCTTCTTATTATTTTTGAGACAGGGTCTCATTCTGCAGTCCAGGCTGGAATGCAGTGGGATGATCACAGCTCTCTGCAGCCTTGACCTACAGGGCTTAAGCGATCTTCCCACCCACCTCAGCTTCCCGAGTAACTGGGACCACAGGCATGCGCCACCGCGCCCGGCTAAGTTTTGTATTTTTAGTAGAGACAGTTTCATCATGTTGCAGGCTGGTCCCAAACTCTTGGGCTGAAAGGATCCTCCTGCCTCGGCCTCCCAAAGTGCAGGGATTACAGGCGTGAGCCACTGCACTCGGCCTGTATTCACTTAATTATTTATTCAATCACTTACTCAACATTTCCTGGGTGTCTATTACATGCCAGCGAGCATGCCCGGGGGAGGCAATCGAGGCAGCTTTCGCGGTGAAAGAGGGACGTCCGTTTAGGCTGTGCCCTTCCATGTCCTCTACCATCGGTCCCCTTTCAGTAGTGGCCTCCCTAACTGGTGTCTCCAGGGCCTGCTTCCCACCGTTCTGCCTGCTACCGCCTCACCTCTGCAGCTGCTGGAGGACCTCTGGCCAGAACGCTCACCCCTTCCATTGCTCCCACCACCTCCTGCCCTTAGGACCCCATGATCCACACCTTGCCCGACCCTGTGCCTCCCTCAAATCCTACCTGTCCTTCTTCTCATTCTGCCAAGGTCCTCTCATTCCCCACTATGTGATATATGAGGTATGGACGAATTCTACTGAATGAAAATATCTGCATACAGTATTTTCTGTCTTACGGCAATGCGATAGGGCAGCAATGCAGTGAAAACTTAAGCATCTAAGTGCAGCGTGTACTGTTGCAGAGTCTCAATGCCCTGCACATTTAACATTCTGCGTCTTACAGTTCAAATTGCAACTGTTTCTGAACATTTCATGGAAAGAACTTGGTTTCCTTAGAAACCGAGGCACAAGGGGAAAGTTTAGAAACCTGCCAATAAGGAAATGTGACGATGATATTGTCAAATATTTTTATAACTAAATATATCTTAAATCTGCAAATCTCTTTGTACTTTTCAAAATTCTCCTTAAGCCTGCATTTCAAAAACCTATGGTACTGTTATGAACTGAATGTTTATGTCCTCAGAATTTATATGCTGAAGACGGAATCCCCAGTGTGATGATGGTGTTGGAGGTGGGGGTCTTTAGGAGGTGATTAGGTTTAGATGAAGTCAAGAGGCTGCAGCTGGCGGCAGTGGCTCATACTTTGGGAGGTCGAGGAGGGCGGATCATCTGAGGTCAGGAGTTCAAGACCTGCCTGGCCAACATGGTGAAACCCCGTCTCCACAAAAATACAAAACTAGCTGGGCTTGATGGCGTGTGCCTGTAATCCCAGCTACTCAGGAGGCTGAAGCAGGAGAATTGCTTGAACCAGGGAGGCCGACGTTGCCGTGAGCCAAGATTGTGCCATTGCACTCCAGCCTGAAGCAAGAATCTGTCTAAAAAAAAAAAAAAAGATGGTGAGGCCCCCATGGTGGGATCAGTGTCCCTGTAAGAAGGAGACCAGAACTCTCTTTACCATATGAGGACACAAGGAGAAGGCAGCTGCCTCCCAGGCAAGAATGGAACCCTCACTATAATCTTTCCAGGCTAGCACCCCTAGACTTCCAGCCTCCAGGATGGTGAGAATATACATTTCTGTGGTTTAATCCAGTCTACGTGGTATTTTGCTGCAGCAGCCAGCACTGACTCATTCATAAAACCAGTTGTGAGGTAGACAGGGCTACCACCACTGTCCCAGAATCACTGCTGCGGTAGTAAGTCTGGCATCATGGCGAGCTGCACGTCCCAATTTCAGACTCGCAGACCATGCTTAAGTTGGCTGCTTGGCTGCTGAGCTGACCGACTGGGAGATTTTTTTGTGTCAGTCACCTTCTATGTCAAGCCTCCTGTGTGCATGTCTGAAAGCTCCACATCAGAAATGAAATTCCCCAATTAAAACATGCAGAGCATCGGAACAAAGTTGGAAGGGAAAGGGGTCAGGTGAGTGAGGAAAAGGAGTAGAACCATAATAATATATCAATAAATAAAATGAATAAATGAGGCCAGCGCATTGGCTCACGCCTGCAATCCCAGCACTTTGGGAGGTCAAGGCGGCTGAGGCTGCAGTGAGCTGTGATCGCACCACAGCACCCCAGTCTGGGTGAAAGGCCAAGACCCTGTCTCAAAAAAAAAAAAAAAAAAAGTGAATTAATGGTATAATAGCTATTAGGAGAGAGGCTCAGCTTTGTAGAATGCAGATCTGGAAACGTAAACAGACTAGCAAAGATTAAGGAAGCAGAAGACAGAAGAGATGGTAAAACAATTCTCTGCTCTTCTGAATTCCAGATTTGAGGTTTATTTAGAACAACCTGCTCTGTATTCAACTTGGGTTTGTTCAGTTACTAATCTTCCTTGCCTAAGGCACTATACTGCTATTGTACTGTGTGTGAATTTTAAATATGCAAATAGGAAATAGTTTGATATAATAATCTCAGTAAAATTTCAGCATGTTTGCCAAATTTTACATGATGTAAATCCTTTCCAATTAAGAAGTAATTGTCAAGAAATGTAACATCATTTTGAAGTTGCTGGACTGAGCAAACTAAACGCTAATGATACAGTGGTACACTGCAATACACTCTAATCGAGTCAATATGCAATGACTTATTAGTCCTTGGTCAACCATGCTGCTATTTACATGCATTCAAACCTTCTCCATCTGATTCTGGTAGATATCTTGTTATCTTAAAATTTACTGCTAATTGTAATTTCAAGTATTTTAACAGTATCAACCACATGTTCATTCAAAGGGAGCACTTCTGTCAATGCTGGAAGCAGGCTCCAACAATCCATTCTGCTCCAGAATGGAAGCTAGATGTAATAAAGTAATATGAAGAGGGCCAAACAGTACAATGCTGTGAGAGCCCTCCGAGAGATACCAGCCGTGATGTTAAGGTGATACAAAGTAGTGGCAGGGCAGATATTTGAAATTCACCTTTGAAATACCTTTGAAATTCACAAAGGCTGCCCCATGCCAAGGCTGGGGGAGTGGAGAAGACACAACGAGCATGCTGAAATGGGCCCCAGAGCAAGGCTGGTTCTAAGTGTGTTTTCTCAGCACCATTTCTCTTCTTTATATTTAGTCCTAAGGGGAAGATACTTTTGAAATCTGTAGGCGGTGATGAAGAGAGGCTGCAAACAAAGCATTTTTCAGCTGAGAAATCCCAAGGTCTGGAAGGCAGATATCTACCTTTTCAACCTGGCTTGGAGAAAGTTAGTTCCCATCTTCTCCATCTTTTCCTCAATCAAGATCTACCTTGGCAGAACCTGAGATTTTCCTCTTTCCACAAAGGGCAGCTGCCCGTCATCCCACCCTGGTGCCTACAATCGCCATTACTTCATTAGGTTTGGTGCC